CTAAGAGTGTTCTACACTTTTTGTTACCTTTGAAAAGACATTTTAGTCAGTGACATATTAATCTATAGCTTACATTTGGATTGGATTTTCAAGCAATTAAAATGGCAAGCTAATTATTTGCTACACGCATGCGCTCTTTTGCAATTCGAGCATAGTTGAGAGGAGAGTTCATAATTTCCTCAACTTTTGAAGCCGGCCATTTCCCCCAGGCATAGTTCATTACTTATGTCACCTGGTTTGGACATACTTTAGTACTATGAAATACTCGTTTAGTACTCCCTCTGTTCCAAAATTATTGTCCAGTTTGAAATTTCAATTGTAGTACAATTTGAACTAGAAATGAAAACTCAAACTGGACAATAATTATGGGACGGAGGGAGTATTAAGTTTTAAATCATACCATATATAGTATAAATCTTTTTCAGTTTTTTTTTTTAATTTTAAAAAAAGTAAGTTTTGGTACTTTTGATGCATTTTAATTTGAAAGAATTTATTGACTCAGACCCTCATAAAGTCCTAATAGTAATTATCCTAAACAAAGATGGCAGACACATAATCGAGAAATTACCCCTAATTTGACCTCTGCAGTCGTGGTAGTTGAAATATTCAGCGCAGCGGTTCTTTTAAACTTGATACCATTCTCTTTTTTCCCCTCGTTAGCAATCATTGAATGTTTGGGGGCAAAAATACACAAAGACAAAGGTTACCCTGCCTATTATAAATTATCATGATGTTGTAAAGTGAGCATCTTAATTATGTTTGATCACAAACAACAAATTTTTATATTCATGTATAGGTTACAAGAAATTTTTATTTTTTGCTTTTCTTTTTTTTATAAAAAAATCATATCACATATTCGGTATACAAATTTGCTGAGTTTTTTTTGATTAATCTGGATCGAACCAGGTAAATTGCTCTCTAAAAATAATAGCCAAGTAATTTAAATATTATTACACTCTTTGAATGTTCATCATAATTAACCCCGAGTTAATACTTTAATTATCATTATTACTAAGTGCTTGTTGATTTTATTTATTCATTTATATTCGTTACGTTTTAATTTTTTTTTTTTAACCCTAATGGGAGGATTGAGGAGGAGGAGGAGTGTGGGACCCGAAGAGAAGACAATGGTATTTTTTTTTAATTTACTTTATTATCTGTGATATCAATTTCACAGGGGTCTGATGGAATCGCCCGGGTTCATCGTACCCTTTGTCATCTGTCTTTGTCTGTCTCCCTCCTCGCTCCCCCCATCTCTTCACCCTTCTCTTGACATTTGTACCACCCATGGTTAAGAGTTTCCTACTACTGTTTTTCTCTCCTTTTTCCCTTTTCTTTTATTTATTTATTTTTTTGGTTAAAGAAAATAGTTTAGCATTTCTCTATGATTGTGATTGGTCATTCGACTCGTCACAGTTACATTTTTGCTTGGCCTATAAATGGGTACTATAGCTCTCTCTCTCTCTCTCTCTCCATCTAGAAACAAACATTTTCTTTTATATATTTTTGTTATTTGATTTTATTTTGTTGATACTAATATATATCATAAAGATACTTTCGAGCATTTTTAAAAAAGAACTTACACAAACAATGAGAATCGGTCGCTAGTGAAATCATTTGGTAATATATATATATATACATATATATATATATATATATGTAACACAAATAAAAAGACATAATCACTGATATTTTCACTTTCTGAGAAATAACATCAATTGTTTTGTACTTTTATTCAACTGAATAAAATTTTTATTGTTCAATCTCTTAATTTTTTTTCCTGGTATTCGATGCATTGTAGGATATATGAACAATTGCTCTCTCGGCGTCAACAATGGTTAATTGAAAAAAGTTGACCATTTGTTTGGATTACAAGAGAACTTAAGAGGGAAGATGAACTGGTTTTCATAATTTTTCTTCTACAATTAATGTGATTAAATACATGATGATCATAAGTGGGAAGATGATCTTCTGAGTCAATATGGCAATGGAGACCCTCTACCCTGTGACCAAAGGATGACATTGTCACGTATGTGTTACCACGACACTAATAATCAATCAAGCAAGGAAATAATTAGTGAGTGGCAGAGCTAAATATGGGTTCATGGTCGGACATGCATAGCGGGAACTCAATCATGAGTACGCCTAAGGAATCCTTCGACCGGCCGGGGGTTCAGTATCCCCGAACCGTTCCACCGTTGAATATAGTGAAAATATTTTGGTGTAATGGCTGATGTAGTGATGTGCAATGTGTTCTTGATAGTTTATGTCATGCTTATAAATATCTCTTACTAATTAACCAATCAGTGATTTACACATTAGTTACTCTATCAAAGTCACTATGATTTTCTACTTTCTTTATCGTCACTCGTTAAGTAAATATTATCGTTAATGAATGAATTTGTAGCGTTATTACTCATATAATAATTCAAAAGTGTACTTGTAGACAAAAAACATATATGATGCATGTTGGGATGATTCTCGTAAAGTTTGTGATGAAATCTTTCTCCATCGTATAAACAGTCATTGACAAGTCGTTTTGCCCCCTCCAACGGCATCCCGTAGACCTACAACATAGTAGTAGTGTAGTACTATTAATTAACGTTTGTTTTGGGGCTTTTTCATATTTGTGCTTAATAATACTAGTAGACTAAGTCATATGCATGGCATTGGTCACCAAATTAAGAGAGAAGCAAAGACACATTTTGACAACTTTCATATACGACGAGGAAGACATTAATGGTGGTTGCAATATCCCTTCCAGAGATTACTACTCGTATGATACTTCAAAACTCAATGTGAACTATTTTTATAGAACGAGAAGAGTATAACTGATTAGACCCATCTTATCAATGTTTTTCATGTTTTTTTTCGTCCTCATTTTAATTTATTTTTATATATGTTACACTCCTGTATATAGATCAATGTATGGAAATAGACAACCAAATAATGCTTAAAACATGGGACAAGCTACCTCAATTCCTCTAAAAATGTCTCAAAAAGTTTGTGACGGCTATTTGGACTACGATTGAACATCACGTATAATATCAACTTATCACTCTCTCTAGTTGATAAATCCTTTTTTTTTCCCCAAGTATTTTGTAAATATTTTATCGTATGAAGTAATTCACATTCGAACCGAATAAATTTCTTTTGAAAAACAAAATTCACGTAAAAAAATCTTTTGTCGTTTTTAAAAATAAGTGAAGACAATATCTTTGATTTTAAGCGACTAAATTCCTACATGTTCATTTTCTCTTCTTTTATTTATTTTAGGGGATGGTACTGTTAGGGAGTAGAAGGGAACAGAATGACACTTGTTGTCCTGAATTCGACTGCATTTATCTAGAATGGTACGTGGTCTTGTCCTAACCATGGAATAAGGGTCCTTATTATAGCAAAACCTGAAAAAGTGAGCAATTTTTTTTACCCAAGTAAAAGTCTATAATCATCTTGATCATAAGTTAAAATCCAGAAATATTATTAGTTTACCAGCGTGGAAAGAATCTGTACCTACCAAAACTGCCTTCTTTAGTAAAAACAGGAGCCATATGAATGATTGAGAAATTCGTATGTCTTGCCTATATTTGGATTTTAGTGCACGAAAAAGGTTAATATGCCTGGGTTTTCTTGTAAGTCTATTACCTCACTATTCGAGTACTAGATCAAAGCGTGCGCGTGTAGAGTCTCTTTCTTAATAATACTATTTCACATCTCATAGTTTTCACCCGCATATAATAAATTAGGTATTTGTGATTAAAAAAAAACCTGATTCTTAAAAAATACACTCACAAGTCACAAAAACACTTGATTCAAATGATAAAAAGTAATAAATCATTATATAGCTATACCCAACGTTCAATCTTATGAGAATATCCAACAATGATTCAAATATTTACTAGAATACCTTATTATCAGAAAGAAATTTATCTAACTCAATTTTGAATTAATCATGATGTAATTTTTTATTTATTTTTTTTTGTAGAATAATAGAATTACATTCTTTCTTTCCCCCCCTTTTTGTTTCGAGGTGGGTCTTGAAATTTATTAGCGGTGTTTTGTCGGATGCATGTTGTTCGAGTTGTCTAGTTCTCCTTGGGCCTCAAATCCCATCAAAGTTTCTTATATCTTTCTTTTTTCTTTGTTTGTGGGCCTTTCCCCTTCTTAACTGTTTTGTTGGTTGGTAATATATTCTTTTCGGCCAATTAGCAATTAGGCCTTCTTATACCTACTTAAAATATTATTATTGGTCAAAATGCTATCTCAAATATAATTACTTGCTCCACTTCCATTCTTTTTCCCCCCCTCTTTTTGCATGGCCTTAAAAGTAGAGGGGTAAAAGAAATGAAAGAAGATTCTTTATCTATTTCACCAAATATTGCAATAATGGTTTGGAAAACCAAACAAACTTGTAAATGCCATGTGTTAAATTGCTTTTCTCTTTTGGGGATTATCTACATAAGTTTTATCATTATCAACATTTAATTTACTGAAAACCCTTGTCTACATGATTATGTTGAAATTTTTCATGGGTTGAATGGTTAGATGAAGAATAGTAAGGACAGAAGTTTTTTATTTATTTTTAATTAATTAATTAATTTTTTTGTGTTTTTTTCAATCTCTTGTTTTATGGGCCAAAGTTCATGTAAGATAAGATAAATGATTTACTTGTGTAGCTTAAAGTGTGTAAGCAATTCTGAATTAGTTGTGCTCTTCAAAACAGTAGGTTCCAAAAAGTACTGGATCTTAGGCTTTATAATTTGGGCTTCCGCTTAGATACGGGCTGAATGATACCCAAACAAGGAAGAGATTTTTCACTTTCAGGCTTTATTTTTCTGAGATGATTTCTTTTTTCAGCAAGAGATTTAAAAATTTTTGATCTACAAGGTCAGTGATTTCTCTTATGAGATGAAGTAAAAATAAATAAATAAATAAATAAAAACAAAATAAAATCAGGACTGTTTGTACACTACAATCAAAACTATAATTGTACACTTGTACGGATTTTGAAGTAGACAGAAGAGATCTTGTTATAAACTGAATATATCAACTACAAGTTTTACTACAACCTTCATTAAAAAGAAGGAAATTTTAAAAGAATGTCGACTAATATTCAAGATTCGGATCCGACTTTGGCAAAGAAGTGGAGTGTATATTTATATTTCCCAATGTACAATAATGTAAAGATGGATCCATAACAAGTTAATAAAACACATTGACATTTATGGACTAACTGACTGATTTCGTATCAATATAATCTCTTATAAATCCTCCTATGAATTCTGTGTCTATATTTTAAGTAACCCAAAAAACTCCAATTTGATCAAGATCTTGATGGAGAAATGTTCCTAACCACCTCAGTTACTTGAATTTCTACCTCCTGATTATCAATTGGAGAAACAACTGAGATCTCCACAATATCGTCTTCCTCATTATCAACATTTCCATTCTGAACTCGTACTACTACTTCTTGTTCTTGTTCTTGTTGTTCTTCATTTTCTTCTTGATTGGGCTGTTCTGGGATGATTTCCTTTCCAGCAAAATCTGATAAAGTAGGAATTCTCTTATGGGATGAGGAGAAATCAGAGGTAGTACTATTTGTGCTGATGGTCCTCGCAGTAGTCGACGAAAATTCACCATGAACTTGACTTAAAGGAGACTTGGAATTAGGCGAAATTGGTCTTTTTTGGTTCCTTTTCTTCTTCACATCTTCATGCCATTCCTTTATGGCGTGCACTGTGTGTTCTTCAAGCACTGCCTTCTTGAATTTTGTACCCATCTGCCCAAAATATAAGAGGTAAGATTATGTTATGATATATTCCGCTGTCTCTAAATTATTATCCAGTTTTCACTTTTAATACAATTTGAACTAAAAATAAAAATTCAAACTGGACATTAATTTCGAGATGGAGGGAGCAATGATAATAAATTCATGAACGTTATGATAAATGTAATGTGCTTAAAATAAAATCGGTGAGTGATCAAACTTCGATTATAACCTGTGTTACAAGAGCATAGAGGGGAAGTGTTATATAACTACAGACCACCTGTACCATAACCCTGTTAAGAGTTGACAAACAAATAATTAGTAAAATTGTGTTTGTAAAAGTATAGTGAATACTCCCTCTATTTCAAAATTATTGTCCAGTACGAAATTTCACTTTTAGTACAATTTGAACTAGAAATATAAACTCGAATTAGACAGTAATTATGGGACGGAGGGAGTATAAATATATTATTCCTTTGGAAAAATTAATACCAACAAATTCTCTTAATTTACTTACGCTAATACGACTCTGATGACGATGACTTCCACACTTTCATGATAGCAAGATTTGATCCCGAATTGAAGCTGAAAGTTCATTATAGAAATGGTTAGCTAAAAACTTTTATCATTGAGAATCAATTCTATGTGTTACAATAAAAATCATATCTGTGATACTATTATAGTTTGACTAATATAATTCTTGTTATAGGACGGAAGAAATAAAATTCACGAAAAGAAACATTTGTAGCGAAAGAGAATTTGTTACCGTGACCCAAACGAAGAAGGCAAATTCAAATGCGTTCTGCAAAAACACAACACATTGATTAAAAGTACTAATCAGCTCACAATCAGGCAATATATCAAAATTATTTTTTTTTGGGGGACTAGAATAATTTTGGCAGTGACGATGATTCAAGACGACGAACCGTAAAAAGAGTGAAATGGAGCAGAGTCAAGACGAATTGAGGATCGCTGAACCAGAAAAGTCCATCATGGGGTTCAACCACAGGGGTTCCTCTCACAACTGAGTTCTGATCTTTCAGTCTCAGTGCCATTTTCGCCACTATCATTTCTAGTTTTGTTCCTATAGCAAGGACCACCTACACCCAATAATAATATCAATATTATACATATACATATATATTATAAAATTAATTAACAATAGTAATAGTATCATTATTCTGGTGAAGAAAAGTGGCTTCGATTTTATTTGACTTTACCACTTACAATCAGAGGGAGAAATGACACCCAGAGGTAGACGTTCCAACCTATTCAATCAAAACCAAAAAGCGATGAAGTGTCTTTTTTATAATCTTTTTTATAATCTATGGTACTCTTTTTGTCCCGGAAAATAATACAGTTTCTCTTATTTTGTGACGGAAAGAATATTATATTGTATGTCTATTTTTTTAAGGAAAAGCATGGACCAATAAATCGTGGACTAACCGTGTACATCAACAAGCAAGAAGATGACAACAACGAACCACATGAATGGGCTGCGTATTCAACCAAAACAGAACAAGAAATTAATTATAGGCATTAGTAATGCAACGAGTGATAAAGCGGATAAATTTAATCCTACTTAGGGCAAAAAATCACCGTAGCTACAAGCTAAATCGCGTAGTTCTATTTTATAAAAATATATCATTAATCACGGTTTGATTTTATTTTGCGCAACTTCATTACAACTCGATTTTTAACTCCTATTGAATTCTCCTCTGATTATGTGTAAACACGCACATCCCCGTCTAATTTTTATTCACTTTCTAGTTTCTTCTACTTTGTGCTAATTTAGTTCGATAACATAGAATTCTAAGTGAAAGCAAGAGAGTAGAATAGTCAACTAAGGAGAACTGATCAACCGCAAAAGAAGATTATTGGTCTAGTTTTTAGTTATTCTTCATAGACTTCTTATTCAAACTTCATAGTATTATAATTGGTCAACCTTTTTCCCTCCCTTCACCAAGATTCACTTAAGTCAATACCTTCAAATTGACATTCAAGGTTACATAAGGCATGCTACCATTATTAGTAACTTTTGGAAGTATCTCCAAAGAAGAGGTAGGGTTACCACTTACAACTTACGAGTCTTTCATTCAATATTTTCTAGTAGCTGCTAGACTTCAACTCTTGCGAAAATAGAAGACTATTTTTATTTATTTGATTTTTTTGTGAGTGAATGCTTGGTCAAAAATATTGCAATACGTAATTATTATATCTACCCATAATAGTCATTTTCCAAAGAAATAGATTTTATTTTTTTATTTTTTTGAGAGGAAAGAAATATCATACAGTTAAAATGAGAAATACTTGGGGGAGTGACATATATATGATACCTGATGCCAACTACCACTTTGAAATCATCTTCGAGAGACCTTTGAATGTATTTTTGGAAATTGAAGGTCTTGTTTGTGGTTGATAAATGAGCCTGCTCTCATTATAAAGAAAATATATATTAAAAAAAAATGTCAACTTTATGATAAACTCCATCCATAAATTATATATTCCGGTCCATTTTGGATTTTGCTTCACTCCAGTGTTTTGTTCAAACGAGGGTTAATAATTACTCACCGAAATGAAACCATGACGCAACGTGAGGTAGTCAACTTTTGCCACCGAATGGAAGAATTGTCGGAAGAAGCATTTCTGTTCCAGAATCATATTCAGAAAGCTAATAATTTGGATAATCAAAATTAATTAAATTGGCAAGGGACTATAATTTGACTCACAATCCATAACTGAGCTGAGGTTTCAGTGCAAGCACTCATGTGCCGCCTTCCAAATGTTGTTTGTCTTGTGAACCTAAATCTCTCTGGATCTAAACATCGTTAAATTAAACCATTCAACTTAATTAGATTGTGAAAGGAAATGACTAGTAACTTTTTTTAAAAAAATGTTTTCTTCGTCTTCAAAATAAAAATACTAACAGAATAATCATTTTAGAACGGAAAGAGTGTCAGCGATGAGCGGGGTAAGAGTACGTACCATTGGCAGCCATGTACTCCACCGTCTGGGTTTCTTTCTCCCAATGTTTCCAACGTTTCATCTGTTCACCAAAAACCATGCATGGAAACAAAGCAAAATCAGATTAATAGAGATGTACTGTACTATATGAAAGATAATCTATGATTGTGTAGATTCCATTTTGGTAGCATAGCAACAAAGACTACATTTGATTAAATATGGAAAAATAATTAATGTCATAGAGAATTATTGGGCAATTGAGGCGTCATTGTCTCTCTTACTTTAATTTGAAGGTAGACTCAACTATGGAATACTAAAAAGTAATTAAAAGTTTGAGCACCAAAACTCGTGATCATATAATACGTTACTTTTGCATGTCTGACTTGGATTTTTCATAACTTAATTCGTGAAACTGAAAGATGGTAGAATTGAGCTGTTTAATTTCTTTCATACCTTGGCTCTGCCAAGTGCCATTGTAATAACACTATACACAATCTGCATTACCGCCAGCACAAATATGAAGATGTTTAGCTCATTTAGTCCCGTTGTGGATATCAAAGACTCCATTCCCTGTGGTATATCATTACAAAAAATTCAACCACGGCGTAAACATGCAAAAGGATGGGTCCTCAGGTCCCTTATCAGATAATTATCACGAGATAAATTATTTAACAAGGGACCGAGGATCTTTGTAGTTAGTGATTCATTGAGTCATGGGGAAATTAAATACCTTAGAGGCACAGTGATCAGTTGAATAATTGGTGGCACCGGCGGCGGCTGAGGCCGCCAGAATTCTTGGAGGGCTAAAGTGTTCACCATCAAAGGTGGCCCAACTCTGCTGATTATCATCATGATCAAAGGATTTGGCGGATTGGGGATAGGCTATTTTCCGGCATGGAAGCATTGAATTTGCAACCTTGATTGGAACACAAATTTTGGATATTTGCCTTTGTGTCACCGCCAGTGTAATTGACATAAATCCCAACAACATTAGAACTGCACCCCAAAAATTAAGGTAAAGATTACTAAAAAAAATTCATTACTGAACAAAAAAAAAAACAGAGGGGAAGTAGAAGGGATTCATCACCTGATTTGAGCTTCTCCACTGCTTCAAATAAAGCATTTTTCCTGCGCTTCTTGAGCCACTGAATCAACAAGGATCATTAAACAAGACGATATATACTCATTAAAGTTGAAACTGCTCGACTCACTATTATAGCTGCAGTCATAAACAGACTAATAAAAACCAGTATACTTACATGGCCAATAAGATGGATCAAATGTTCAATTGCAATCCCAAGAGAGATGAAGACGAAACAAACAGTAGCCAAAGCCCAAGTGGGAGTTTCTTGTAAAGACCGAGTTGTGCCTGAAGCTGCCCCGGCCATGGATTTTTTTTTTTTCCTTGATGATCAAGGTTCTAGTTCTTCCAATACCCTCTCGAGAAGATGTATCTAACTTATTTCTTAATCAAATAGGATTTGTGACTGGAAATAAGAAATATGAGTATGAGGAGGGAAAACAGCAAGCTATATTGCGGGAGAAATGAAAGCACTTGAAAGAAGAAGATTCAAAGAAAGAGCTCGGGGAGAGAGAGAGAGAGAGCTGAAGTTTGAAAGAAATGTTCAAATGTGTCTATAAGAAGGCTAGCACTACCTTTGTCTCCATATTATTGTTCAGTTTGTATTTTAACTTTTAATTCAATTTGTATTAAAATTGATAATCTAAACTGGATAATAATTCCATAACGGAATGAGTACTTCTTTTCAATTCTCAAACTCGTAATAAATGTTTGCTGGCTATTTTTTTTCCAGTTATTAAGTGTTGTTCACATATTCTGTGTCTTACATTAATCAGATTTTGTTCTTAAAAAAAATTTAAGACAATGAATGTTGAGAGAAGAAGGGAGTGGTTAAGAAAACTTCAGCAATTGAGTGACTAGGGAAGGTGACATTTGAGGATTCTTGACTTGGGGACAATTGTGGAGACGAAAACAATATAATTTGGAAATATGTCACAATCATTATTTTGGAGATATTGTATCATTGATAGTCTTTTTTTGGTCCTACTTGTCCCCAGTAAGTTATTAAGAATATTAGAGAAGATTGTCATGGAATGGAGTTTATATGAATGTGTCAATTAAAGAAATGTTTGGTCACTTTGTGTAGTGCTACATGCTTTTTTGTTCCCTTGAATCTGTTTCACCTAGTTCTGTTTGTAAGGGGAAGAGTTCATCCAACTTACTTATGAGTTGGGTAAACCTTATATTATTAGCTAGACATAATAAATCGGTGCAATTTCAATTGTTTTTCGCATACTTCGATCTCCTAGGATTAGCTCGGGATAAGACGCCACCACGGGCTAGCAGCAACTTCACAAATGTGTATCCCTCTATCCCAAAATAATTTTCTCGTAATATTTTGTATTTTTAATTTAAATTGAAATCTCAAACTGGATAATAATTATGGGAAAGAGGGAGTAATTTGTATTTTGAATTAAAATTTAGATGAAAAATTATTTCAGGACAGAGATAGCGTAAACATTATTGACTCCCGAAGACGGGAGCGAGTCCATGTCGTTAGACTAGAGTGGGGTTCATAGTAGGGATTTGATGAGGATTATCAATGAGCAAAATTAACTCGCAAGAAACTTCTCCACATTGGCTTGCGGAATGAATCAACCAGAAATGCTGGACCCAAAGGGTTTAATGTGCAGAGGGAAAAATATTTCATTTGAGACATCAAGTTCTCGACGGAAACACATCGCCCAAACTTTGTAACTTTTCACTTTCAGTGTTTTAATTGCATGGAGAAAAAAAAACATTCATTTTGATTGAGTCATCATATGTTTACTTATTCATTTGGAAAACAAATGGAGCAAATCAAAATACGTCAATTTGATCTGCACTTTGAAATAACATGAGGTTGCTAATTATTAGAAAGTTTGACATTTTGAATGATCTAAGCTAGCTACAATATAGATATTTTTTTTATCCGTCCCAAAATAATTGTCATATATGAAAAAGGTATTCATTTAATATGAAATTTGAATGAGAGAATTGGCAACCAAGAAACTACTCCGGTGTAGCTTATTTATCGTCCTAGAAGAGCATATTGAGTTTATTTCTTTCTCGTTCAGTCTTTATATTAAAAGTCTACTTTGATGAGTAAAATAACATTCTTCATTAGTTTTTTGGCAATGTATTATCATCATAATCAGTACGTACCAGTCGAAGACAAATGATAAACATTTTCCTCGAGAAAATTAGAAAATGTAGTTCAAGGAAATTGAGTAAAAAACTAAAAGGAAAACCTTTTTTGAGATGGTTCTTTTTTTTTTTTGTTTTTTTTTGTTTTTGGGGTATATAACGTAGTCGGTGTCTGAAGTCATTGGTCCGACTAATCTGGATTCGAGCCTTGTAAGTCTTTTTCGGAAGGTAAAACTCTCATAACAAATATTTTGTTAAGTGATATACGCGATAAATCCACATTGCAATGATTAATGTGGAAAACGACTAATCTTTTGTTTTCATTTTTCAAAATACTTAATATATAGCATTGAATCTTGAGATACTGAAAAAATTACGTAATGTCAAAGTCAAAATGAATGTAGAATGTTCGTATACATAGAGAAGACCTGAGATATTCAATTTTCAGTAAGTCAAAACATATGGAGGATATTTATATATGTATTTATCATCATAAGTTGTCGAAGATCGGTTTGACTATATTCAAAATTAAGGTTTATTGTAATTTACTAATTCAGATCGTAGACTCAACTAGCTCAATTTATACTTCATTACATTGGTGTTGGATGACTTGTAAAATATCTTCGCATATATATATATATATATATATATATATATATATATAGAGGAGAATAGAAAAAAAAAATTGATGGTTTATGAAGATGATACGATTTTAATAAATTTCACTTTGTCGAATTGTTTAGTTTAACAAATAAAAATAGATTATTAATGAAAATGAAACGGAACCAGTATTATTATTATTATTTGGTCATTCGGTCTTTGTTTTTGAGGTTTCTTTCATTTCTTTCACAATTTAACGTGTTTTCTTGCGTCTTCTGACTTCTGCTCATTGCTTTTGTATTTATATTAAACACTTACTGGATTATAGTATTCGATGTCGAAATTTTCTCATACCATAACCGGAGCATACGACACTCGGGGTAGTACTAACTGAACTACTGATGCAGAACCATTCTCAATTACTCCAAATTTCATAACAATACAAAATAAATCAAATTGAGTTTAACTGCCCTGGTTCTTTTCGAAAAGGATGGAAATATTACATTCCCTTTCTTCTATTTTAATATTCACATTGTCCCAAAATAATTATTTCTTTTAAATTTTTATTTGTAATACGATTTAAACTAAACTAAATTTAAACTTTTTTTTTTCTTGTGTATATTGTAGCGTGTCTACCGTAGGCAACAGTGACTAATCCCTCTCGCTCATGGTAAACTAAATCTAAACTTGATAGTTATACTTCGTGCAACACATTTCGCATGCAGAAGAAAGGACAGATTTGATTAATTTGAACATAATCATGTGTTTTGGGTAAAAGACAAAAATTAGCTAAATTAATTTTGTTTTTAAAAAAGGAGGTTAGGGTGAATAGAGTAATAGACTATTTAGTATAATTTACAAAAGACCAACTCTTTGACCAAACCAGGGCATTTGGTCTAGTGGTATGATTCTCGCTTAGGGTGCGAGAGGTCCCGAGTTCAATTCTCGGAATGCCCCTTTCTCTTCTGCTTTTTGCTTTTGTTTTTTTTTTTTTGATTTTTTCCCTTATATGAGCATTTCTATATCAAAATATATGTAGTTCCATCCAAATGTGCCTTCAAAGCAAGAACCAAAATGCTAAAATAACAATTCAAATCCTTGGTCTTTTTAATCATCCGTTCCTAAATATCTCTACCATCATCATCCACAATCAGATTAACCATTACAATCCACCATACACTTCAATCCTTACTGCAAAGTTTGCTACATACTACTTATCACACAACAGTCCTAGTAACATACCAAAACCACACATATAAAATCAAGAGAAACTACAACCTTGACTTCAAACAAAGCCCTCATTCACATTCACAAGGTTCCACAACACCGGCATCATCCACCGTGATTTGCTGCTTCTCTTCCTGTTGTTGATCAACTCCCTCTTCAGTCTCTTTGGTTGTCCCTACTTCCTGGTTGTCCTGGCTTATGTTGCTGCTTTCCTCCTTTCTCAATCCAAAGCTAACACACAAATCTTTCCACTCTTTTTCCTCTGACAAATGCCCGTGCCGTCCTATATACTTCTTCAGCTCAACTTTCACATTGCGAATCGGCTGAAAAATAACAAAAAAGTATTAACACCCAATCAGCTCTCTTTTACTATTACAGCATTCATCATCTTTGGTGATTTCATTCTCTACTAGCCTGATCAAATGTACTTTTGATCGAGCACGATAACAACATACGAGCCATAACTTTCACAATTTTTGTTGTTGTTTATGTACCTATTGAAGAAAAGCATGCTTAAAATTATTGGGACGGAGGGAGTACTAGAATTTTAGCAATAACAAACCTCTGCTTTGCAATCAGAAGCCAGGCGGAAGGATGCAGCAGAAACGAAATGCTTGCCAACGGACTCAGCCAATCTGACTTGGGCTATCCAATACGATGAGGTCTCCAGCTTATCAAACCTGCATTTGCTGCATCTCTCTGCACTCTGATAAGGTGTGCCTGCTGAGACATTGTTATTGGCCTTAACCAAAAACGGAGATCTCAATGGAGTTCGAACAACATCATCCTCCTGCAATATTTTATCCTTAACTTCCTCCACATTCTCACCAAAATTTACGCTTTTCTTCTTCCCGGGCTTAATCGAGAATGGCGATTTCAAAGGGGTTTGGTTCCCCTCTTCAGAAACAGTTTTCTCCTTATTTTCATTGACTTTCTCTCTAAAGCTCACGCTTTTCTTCTTGGTCGTTGCTAATTTCTTCGGAGTCCCTTCAGTTTCTTGAACAGCAGTGGGATTAAGGCTGGGATGATTGATTGGTTGTTTTGATGGTCTTTGAGGAATCCCTGGTTTTCTTGCAACCTTTTCAGTCACAGGCTTAGAAGCCGGTACATTTGGGTTTCTCACAGTTCCAAACACTCTTTTTTCCCTGTAAACATATAAAAGATTTAAACTTTAAGTCTGCACAGAAGCCAGAATCTAAGAAAATTCAGACAAACAAAAGAAAACCGCCCCTGAAAAATCTGAAATCATTACTTATTGACGATGAAGGGTTCTTTAACTCTGCTTTTCGTCGGCGGTTCAGAAGACTTTCCATCGGCTTTACTTTTCGGGATTCTTCCTGAAACTAGTTTTCAGTAATGGAATTTGATTAATCAACTAGCCCAACGAAGAAAGAAAAAGAAGAAAATAGTAACATTAAGAAGAAGAAAACTTGCCTGTAAATGGAGGACGAGTATCCATGGAGTTTGGAGAGAATTCAGAGCAGAATGTTAGCAAAATCCTACTAGCAAAACGCTCCTCCTGAATCCTGATGATGATCTGTGTTTTGGATAAAATTGTAAAAGTTTCAAACTAAAGTCTGACAGAGTCTCTCTTCTCTTCTCTCTCTGTGTTTTTGCTGAATTTTTTATAACGGAACTGCTTTTTCCAAGTTCGAATGGAGAGAAATGGGCGGGAACAGGTTCGTAGGTTGTGGGGAAGTTTGTTTGTAGACGCTCCAAAGTAGGACCCATCACTCACACTCTTAACTAGCCCACACTTTTGGGGGCTCTTTTTGCATCACTTTTCTTGAATTTTAATTGGGCTGCTTCCTTTACTGTACTTATTTTATTGCCATTGGTGCATTTTTCCCCTGAAAAATTTCTCAGCCATTATATTGGTACCTACCATAAACAAGGGAATTAGTCACTATTACCGACGGTAAACACTCTACAATGTGCATAGTAATCGTTCTCTTCCTTCGCTACACCAAAAACATAGAATGCCTTATTTTGATTTTTAGTCAACTTTGAGTGCTCATACCAAAACCTTGAACTTGGTGGTATGTAATGTATGATGTTAGGTATATGGGAGCCAAGGGGATTTCCACACAATCCAGAAAAATGGAAATGAAATTTTGGGATCAAGAACATCAGTTATAAAGAATTTCATTCATTCTCAAGAATGATACTTTCTTTCAGTATGAAACCAGAGAAGTTAACACAAAGTACAAGCTATACCTTCTCCTATTAAGGACTCAACTTTAAACGTGCCAAGTAAAATAGAAACCAAGTCGGCCAGAGTTTTCAACCACCCAATCCACGCTGCCAGCACACAGGTGCCCCATAAGGGAAGTGAATGCAAGAGGAGGTTTGCAACATTGCATGACGGCATGGATACCATGTCAATAGCAGAATTTCAAAAATCTAAACTGCAAAGAAATTCCTCCAAGACTGTCTGCTTCATTTGTCAAATTCCCAAATAACACCTCCATCCTCTGCAGTGGAAAGTAAATAAGTTTGGAGTTAAAACTTGCCTCACTTGAGAAGAAATAAAAGCCGAAACACAAATCAATACATGACAGTAAAAGCTGAAGATTCTTCCTTCTATATAGGAAAGCCCCAAGTGGAGAGATCCCTATATGATCATTCCTTCATTAATATAAAAGTTGTGGTTGGTTGCAACAATCAACCAATACCATCTAGCAAGTGATCAAAGAACTAATGGAGTTCGACTTCAAACATTCGTATATAAGAAGAGTCCAAACAAAACCAGTCAGAATAAACCAAGACAGTTAGGAACAGTGACGGACCTAGCCATCAAACTGCAGGGGCTAATTTGAATGGTTGATCATTGACTATAAATGAGGCAAAACTTAAAGGTGTATTAATTAAATTAAAAAAAATAGAAGTAATATTTAAAAATCACTAAATGATACTCTCTCCGTCCCAAAATTATTGTTCAGTTTGAGATTTCACTTTAAGTACAATTTGAACTAGAAATGAAAACTCAAACTGGACAATAATTATGGGACGGAGGGAGTACATAAGAAGGGTGTGGAAGATATAAGAACACAAATAATCAGAAAATGAGGTGTGTTGTTCTTCGAGAAAAATAATAATAATAGCAGAAGTCTACAATAATTTAAAAAAGGTCTATATTGACGTTATAATTAGAATATAGAATGTTGCAAAAAGAATTTAGTTAAGAGCATACGTTGTGGGTTGGGATTTTTGCAGCTAATCTGGACTGCAGAGAAGCCCATATTGGGAAAACAATCAAATATAGCATTAAAAACGAAGTTGTTTGATTTTGGGCCTCTAGAAAAGAAATAGATTTCAGTCCAAAATTATTTTCTTCTCCGTTAATTGCACTTTTTCCTGTATTCCGCAGGGGCGGCACTTCAAAGGCAGAACCACCACGGCTGAGACCGGACATCCTACAAAGTGGTTCTCCAGTCCGCCACAGGGTTGACGGACCCTGCGAGCCCTATGGTAGGTCCGTCCCTGGTTAGGAACTAACAGAAACAGGTCTAATATGCAAAACATGGAAACAAGCCAAGCCCCATTTCAAAATGCAGCACGGATGTTAAATGTTAAATCACATTGATTTTAAACGTTTAATAAACAACAGCAACTACGAGGTTGTTGAGCTGCGTATGACCCAGGATTTGAAAATCAACACTACAAAATAACAATTGCAGCGCAATGCATGCACTACAATTACCTAATGATTTCAAAACTGAAAATGAAAAAGATGCAGAGTCAAAAACACACCTTTGATCTTCTTTTTAATCCAGATTTCTGCCAACATCCCAGCACCAACTCCAGCAACAATCCATGCACTGTAGAATGCAATCGCAGATGGCAGAGATTTTCTAGGAAGGAAATAAGAATCTGGAATCTGCCTAATCTTTTTAGGCAGTCTTTTCTTCACAAATTCATCGCCACCTTGCTCACTTGATTTGCCAATATTTTTCCAATCTATATGTTTAACTGGCTCTTCAGTCTTCCCGGTGCTCATGTTGAAAGGTTCTGGATTGTGATCCAACACATTGATTAGTGAAAATCAGCAAAAGGAATTCTCTTCCCAATTAATCTTCGCGAGTCCAAAATAATGATCTTTTATCGTGAAAGTACAGAAGTCCATGAATGAATAAGCAATTCAAACATATTAATCAGGAAAATGCCATTAAGAATACAAGGAAAGAACGCACATTTATTTATAATACTAAAACTAAGTAGTGTTGCTTTACCCCATGCTACTGGTTCTCAAGAAAGTTACAAAAGCAAAAGCAAAGATGACAGTATTGCTAAAGACTTTCTTGCTGCCAATCTCTTTGATACTGCAAAAATCTCTTCTAGGAATCTCTACACTGCTGTCGACAGCCAGTAGAATATGCCCATCAACTTTCCTCATATTAAACATTGTTCATCAGAAAGGACATTGATTGTCCATTTTCCAGAACAAATGAAAAACTACGGTATGACTTCGCAGCTCAATATACTCAGTGCATGAGAACTTTGAAGCCTAATTTGAGTTCCGAAATCCCACCAAAAGGAGGAAAGATTAAACTGCTAATCAATAATTTCCTTAACACATCTCAAACTAATTACAGCAAGGAAAACAACGTCCGGAAAGCCAAAGCAGGAAAAAAAAAAGAGCCACACAGACTGACTTAGGTTAAGCACCGAACACTTCTTTCAGAAAGCATCCATAATAAAGGGCAAAGATTCTATAAAGCCCCAATGAACACCATGAAAAGATGAGAACTGAAACAAGCAATCTGAAAAAAAAAACAACAAAGCAACAATCTTTGCAACAATTCAAACAGAAAAACATAATAAGTACCCAAATTGAAGTGATATAATACAGCCCAGCAAACAAGAAAAACATCCAAACCCGAAATGAACATTAAACGATTAACAAAGGAAACTAGTAATTGCTGCTTACCACTGATGTTCTGTGTAGGCTTGGATAAATTCACCAACTAGAGCGAGAAGAAGACGAGAAAATAACAAAAAAAAAATCCAGAGAAAAGAAAACAAAATATCAGGGGAAATTCAAGTAAAAATGCTCTCTGACTCCTTACTCACAACGGAACTATTGATGAAGCTGAGATGATCTGTACCGGCGACGAGGGTTGCAGAGGGGTTTCGTGAAGTTAAAAAATTGATTATTTGGTTTCTCAACTATGGCCAGTTTGCAAAATGACCTCGCATTAATCCTTCTTTAAAAAAAAAAAAGCCTCGCATTAATGAATTGCAGCAATTTACTACCTAAAGATTTTGGTTTATTGTTACATTACTAAATGCCTGCCAAAATGAATGGTCAAAAAGATCATTTCTTACATAAGGTCTTTCTGATTGTGGAGGAAGGGAAAACAAAGCTAGAGCTTTTCCAATATGTTATCTAGAATGGAAGGATAGATGCGAATAATTAATATGTTGTACTTTTTGCGTCCAGAAAAATAAAACACTTTATTGTATTGTTTTAGTTCAACAAGATGGTTATGTTTTGAAACAGAGAGAATGCATTTTATTATATTGACATGAATATATGGAACAAGGTTGAATTCCTTGAGAATCAAGTTGGAAAGATCATCGATATAGAACACATTATATAGATATCTGCTTTCTACTACTCTAAAGGTCTACTAATTTCAAACATAGTAAACCTAATCTGAGGAAAAATTGGCCGATTTACCCTAACCTTTACATATATTGTCAATTCTACCCTATTCTTTTTCGATTAGCCAATAATACCTTAAACTATTCAACCTTAGCCGTTTTGTCTAATTTGCCAATTTTCCTTTAAATTAACAGATTTTCTGTTAGTTTTAATTATAAAAATATCCTAATATTTTTAAAAATTATAAAAATGACCCTCAAAATTTGTAAAAATAACAAAATAGTCTCTTTTCACTTTTTATTTAATTTTTTCTGTTTTCTATTTCTTTTTACTATTTTTCATAACTATAAAAATATACTATATGATCTTTTAGAATAAAAATTTATTTTTAAACAATACTGCACAAATTTATAGATATACATATTTGTAATTCATGGTTGATTTACATAAACATATTAATTTTTTTAATACTATGGCTAGAAAATAATGATATTAGTTTTCTAATCCATTTTTTTAATTTAAAGAATAAGATATTTTTTTACTAAAACTAATTTTTTTACAAAAAATTAAAAAATTTAGCATAGATTAAAAAATAATCGGTCAAATTTTCTGTTTTATTAGAGTAGATATAAGATTAAGTCTCACCAAAGAATTTCTAACTGGGAGAGTGATTTTATCTATATTTAAGCGGGATCCACTAAAGGCGAGAGGGTTAGAGTCAGGTGACTTAGAATGTGAGATAAAATTACTGTGTTCGATGTCTCGATTCTCATTGGGGCAATCTAATTTTTTTTATTTTAAAAAAAAAGGTGGAGTCTAGTACTACAATAGATTTTTTTATATTATTTTTTCTTTAAAAAAAGACTTCTGCTAAAATTAGATATATTAATATCTCAAAAAATTATTACAAAATGTTAAACCCTCGCAATGATAAATACAAATATTTTTTTATTAAATATTTTGTACCATTTTTGTAAATGTCATGACAATATATTCTTGTATTGGGCCAATGTAGAAATGAAATAGGTGTTTTTATTTTTTTTTACTTTCTTTTCGTACTTGGCCTTTTATAGAAAAATTTATATTTTAGTTTTAATTATTTTTTAAATTTTATGATACAATCTAAAGTCTGTTGAATTAAATTGTAATACATAAAGTATACCAATAACTTCTTTTTTAATTTATGCTAAATGTGTTATTTTTTTTGTGCAAAATTAGTTTTAGTTAAATAATCTTATTCTTTAGATTGAAAAAAATGGATTAAAAAAATAATATCATTACCGTTAAACCATATTATTAAAAAAAATAATATGTTTACGTAAATGAAACATGACTTACAAATATCAAATTATAAATTTGTACATTAGAGTTCAAAAATAAATAATTTTTTTAAAAGATCATATAGTATATTTTTATAGTTATGAAAATATTAAAAAGAAATAGAAAACAAAAAAAATTAAACAAAAACTGAAAAGAGACGGTTTTGTTATTTTTATAACTTTTTGGGGTCATTTTTATAATTTTTAAAATTATTAGGGTATTTTTACGTAAATGAAACATGACTTACAAATATCAAATTATAAATTTGTACATTAGAGTTCAAAAATAAATAATTTTTTTAAAAGATCATATAGTATATTTTTATAGTTATGAAAATATTAAAAAGAAATAGAAAACAAAAAAAATTAAACAAAAACTGAAAAGAGACGGTTTTGTTATTTTTATAACTTTTTGGGGTCATTTTTATAATTTTTAAAATTATTAGGGTATTTTTATAATTAAAACAAATAGAATTCCGTTAATTTAAACGGAAAAGAGCAAATTGGACAAAATCGGCTAACGGTTAGATAGCTTAGAGTAATATTGACTAATCGAAAAAGAATAGGGTAGAATTGACAACGCATGTAAAGCTTAGGGTAGATTAATCAATTTTTCCCCTAATGTGACTCTTAAAAAATCACTGAGTGAAAGCGTAGTACATTGTTCGTATTAGCAATTGGTTCAAAATACAATGAACCCTGAAATTGATCACAAGAAGATAGTCACGCTTCAGAAAATTCTTCAATTTGATAAGTTGATTCTCATCTCAAATCCCTAGTCCAACACATCTCCTTCGGGGGGGTCTTAACAGAGAAGCGAGCCACCACTTTTCTATGAACAAACCACCATATGCTGCTAAGTATCTGTACTGCAAAGGCATTAATCTCTGGAGTTGCTGTGTGGCACATCTTCTGCTATCATGTGTTATCACAGCTTGTTGACCCAATCTCTCAGGATCCATATATACCAAGGTCCTCATCATCCATCCTTAAATCATGATGCAGATCAATAAACATCTTCTTCAGAGAAACCCTAATGTCTCAACCACTTTAAGGTGCTAGAATTTGTAGTTAACAATATTGTATGGCATTCTACATCTACCATTAATTTTTTAGTGGGTAGCTTACACGCAAAAACTAAGCGTGCTCAGTTACAGAAGATCCTAATTTAAACCTGATTATCATCAGTGTTGACCTTTGCTGCAAATCTTCTCGCAGCATCGGGTTTGAAGACCCCAACACCAAATAACACGAATATTTTACATACAGAGAGATATAGCTGCATAATTTTCACATATGATGCCCACTTGAGCATCTTAAACTCCCACAATCCATAAAACACAAAAGATTTTCCAAACATCATTCACCCTGAAATTGCTTAACAGGATGAATTCTAACTTCACTTTCCTGAAGTTGATTCTCATCTTTCATCAAGTCCAACGTATGAGAAGGGCTGTAGAGATCAAACTCCTTTGGAGGTTCACTTTTGTGCCTTCCATTCATGTGTTTGTTTGTGTTAGGCGTATTATATCTTTCGCTCCTGGACTTGACCGAGTGCGCCTCATTTTTTGGTGTTCCTTCCACTTGTTTAGGAACTTCAAAAAGAGTGATGCTCCCCGACCCGCTTTGGAGCATTGCCTCTTCTTGATTTTCGCCCTTTGTTTGAACAGCTTCGAGTATTTCGACAACCTGACTCATGTCAGGCCGCCCTTTTGGATTCTGGCTGAGACATTGATATGCAAGACTAGCAACCTTCATAGCCGTTCTCGTGGAGTACTGCCCCTCCATTCTAGGATCTAGAATTCTTAATAGCTTCTTGTGATTCAGGAGTGGGCGGGCCCATTCGACAAGATTATGCTCCCGGCTAGGCCTGCTTTTGTCCATTGCTCTTCTTCCAATGAGCATCTCAAGCAAAACTACCCCAAACCCATAAATGTCACTTCTAGCAGTTAAATGTCCTGTAAGTTTCAGCAATGGTTTTAAAAAAAAGAAAAAAAAAATTTAAGCCACTAATATTCAAACTGAAGGAAGGACTATGTATAGAACCAAATAAACTTATGAAGAAAAAAGAAAACCCCACAAGATTAATTGACCAACATGCAATAGTGCTCTACAAACATAAAATTAGTAAGCCTTTAACACAAGGGATCTTGGAAAGATTAACAGGTTCTAGCAGAATGCATAAAAAATTGATCAGCTTTAAACATTACTATCATATAGGCACAGCCATAAAGTATGAATCCTGGGAATAAAGATCCAGCGTTTTTTATATGCAGAGGAAAATGTTTAAGACAGATTTTTATGACAACAGCTTTGCAAATTTGTATTATGTTTCCAGAAACTATCAGATCACATATCTTACCAGTCATGACATATTCGGGAGCAGCATAACCATAAGTACCCATCACCCGTGTAGATACATGTGTCTGATCTCCCATAGGCCCATCCTTCGCGAGTCCAAAGTCAGAGAGTTTAGCATTGAAGTCCTGCACATTTACATTGCATCTTTAGCTCGAATTTCAGAATATCAACACTATAAATGGCTTTCAAAACCATCTTTTCTTATGATCATGTCTTCAAACTTTTGGACCATGTAAGACTTTCCAGTGAATTCGAGTACAGCCTATAATTTGCATTTTTACGGCCCAAGTAATTGGCTGAAGCAAACCTTATTTCACATCTATGCCAGTCAAGTTTAATACACCAGGAAAGGCTTCTTTTCAGTAAAACACACATTCTCAAGATTTTAAATAGATAATATTTCTTCTTATATAGTTATTTTCAAATTCTTTTTAGGCTTCGCCCTTTTCTTTTCGAAATATATTAGTGATTATATATTCTATACATGCCTACAGGTCTCCAATGCAAATTCCCACAGATTCTAACAATTTTCATCTACTACTCCTACTCTAACTTTCTAAGGCATTGATGAGAGCATAAATTCTAGTTTAGAGTTTACAGTCTGATGTAGAAACAATTTGCCTAAGAGAATATCCAATAACACAACTGTAAAGAGAAGTAAAAAAATCTTTGCTTTACAGATTCTGGAAAACAACAACTAACCGCGTCCAATAAGATGTTGGAAGTCTTGAAATCTCGATATATGATCTGCCTTGCGGCAGTGTGAAGAAAAGCAAGCCCCTTTGCAGCATCTAATGCAATTTTCATCCTTCTTGACCATGTCAGTGTATTACATACTCCTAAAATAAAAGCACAAACACTTTGAGTATACACAAGTATACCAACACCAAAAAATCAATGTCAAAAAATAAGATTAGAAAACCAAGATAACCAAGAGCCAATTGTTTTGCAAATAGAAAACTTTAGGAGTTTAGTTTAAATGGAAAAATCTGAAGATAACCAAGATCCAATTGTTTTGCAACCGGTAATATCCAGTAGGATCTCTTCCAATACGTTCGTAAACAAACTAGAGGCATTGACTATCACAACCCATGTATATAGAGAGAACCCATGTATATAGAGAGAAGCAACTATCAAATTCAAAATTCAGGGTTTAGCATAACAGTTAAACTCTCTGTTGATTACTACTCAAGGAAAGCTATTATCACCCAGAGGCTGCCTGAAGCTAACTTGGGTCGTTAAACTAAGCTCCTACAGTTAATTAGGAAGCTACTTACTTGAAAACAGCTGTTTCTCCAGGCTTCCAGACTGCATATATTCATACACCAACAGCCTGTGGTGATCATCGCAGCAATATCCAATGAGCTTGACCAGGTTAGGGTGACGTAGTTGCCCTAAGTAGTTTACTTCTGCCTGCAAAATCTCATTACGACAATGATTACTTTTTGTAAGCATCAAATAGCCATGCGTTGAGGCAGTCTCCATCAGGGAGAAGCTTTTACATTAAAAGAAGTGAAATAAATTGTGAAAAACTTAAAATTAGGCAGTGTAAACTTCCCCACGAGTAAAGAAATTCGTCGTGTCATAGTTTGTCAGCCAATAAACAGAACTCCAGAACAGGACATCGAAAGGTGCCAATCCTATACATAACATTAAGATACAAGACTACACTAAACTCCTCCTGTGGCACTTAAAACAAAAAGCACTTGAAACCAAGGGTGATTGCCTAGTAACTGCAAATGCTATCAGTAATTCCTAATTTTCCTATTCCTGGTAAAAGCTAAAAAATAAAAAATAAAAATATTATTGATTTGCTCGCTACTTTTTGTATTTCAATGTGGGATTGCATCTAATCACAATTGTAACTTCGTAACAGTAAATAATGCATAACATAGAAAAGAAAAATGCAAAACACACAGCAACGCCAAGGGCAAGAGATTTACCAGCCATTCTCTGTCTCCCTGCAGACCTTCAGGATCAAGTTCTTTGATGGCCACACGAGTGGTTTTATAACCAGGCCTCACATTTCCATCTATAACTCCTTTATATACAATGCCAAATCCACCCTCTCCAAGGACCTGATCTGGTCGGAAGTGCTTGGTAGCCAGTTTCATCTCTTCATATGAAAAAATATCAAGATTACCACTAACTGGATTTCGGCGCAGATCCTTCACATTTTTTGAAATTACCACCACATTATTTGTTCTCTCAGCACTGTTGATTTGCAGCACATTTGGTGCCGCTCTAGGAGGTGCAGAATTTGCTTTAGCAGGTACTTCAGGAAATTGATGGACAGCTGAAATGTTTCAAGCAAAAGAGGTCAGAAACCACTTCAAACTGGCAATAACCAAAAACTCGCAAAAAGCAAATAAGAATCTTTTCCTCCTCAATCATCATTATTCAAAGATATCTTTAAATGTGCATCCCGTCCAGAGAAATGTGTCTCCACATTAGTTAATGTATCTCTTAAGTCCAAATGCATCAAACAAACATGAGGATGAGTCAATAATTTATATAGTCCAAAACTCCTAACGGTTACGGTATAACTCAAAAAGGCTGCATAAATTGTCTCCAGAATGACTTCAGTTACTTGCTTATGCATACAAATACTAAAGTTACCCCAGTTTCTTAGATCATTTGGATGGCCGAGTCAATATCTCCCTCTCAATCGGATAATCACACTTTTGATAATAAAGATCATTTATTGCATAGCCGTCATGCACCTTGAAACAAATACTGGCACTCAATTTCCATTAATAGCCTCAACTGAAAAGTACTCACTTCCGCTCAAACTAATATTGCTTAATCAAGAACATATTTCACATTATCAGATAGAGAGAAACACCTAGCATGGTCCAACAAGCAAAACATCTGAATGCAAAAAAAGTTCATCCAAAAGAAAGCAAAAAACAACGGATAACACATTCCCTGTTGTTACAGACAAAAACCAAAAAAAAAAAAAAAAGGGAAAAAACACAGTGAGGATAGATATGGAAAATTAGTAGTACCTTTAATCTCTGCCCTCTGTAAATCCTCTTCCAAACTTAAACAGGCCCCCATTTGTAAGATTTCACTAAAAACTTCGCATTCAATTAAACTCTTTGCTCCTTAACACAAAAATACACTTCAAAAGTTCAGATTGCACGGAAAAAGAACGGTTCTTTGATCTTCAACCCACAATGTGAAGAAGCTTCATAATCAAATCATCATCTCTCAACCCAAAAGGCGCCAAAAAGGCAGCAAAACACTTCACTATGCCAAGATCTGAAAATGGGTTCACTCCAGAATCAAACTAAAATTTGGTTAAAAGGGTTCAACAACCAGAAAGTTAAAAACTTCCCTGCAAAAACTGCTCAACCAAGTTGCAGGATGACAACAATACAAATAGACAGAACACTCGGGTCTTTTCGCAGAAGGCTCTTTTTGTAATGTTCAAAGTTTGGAATTTTATTATAATTCTCGTGTGATTACGTTGGGTTTGGACTTTGGAACTTCAGAATATTAATCTAATCTTCCAAACTTGAGAATGATTTTTTGGGGGGGGGGTGGGTGTGTTTAGAACAAAATGCCAAAAAATCTCAAATATTACCAGACATACGTCGGGTTGGTCTGGTTTGGTCGGGCGTGGATTTTATTATATACCATCACCAAAAATATTCAAAAATGTCCAAAATATTAAGTGGCAAGACGAATTTGTCATTGTCACAATGGAAAAGATAGCAGAAAATTGCCAAATTTTTGGTTGTCGATGTGCAAAGTTAAACGAATATTCCTGTTGATAAGTGTGTTAAAAACAGGAAAAAAAAAACTAATTATTCAAATACTTCTTTTAGTAATCCTTGATGGATTAGTTATTAATTTGCATGGAAAATGAGGAGTTTGTTTGGTTTGATTTTTAGTGTGTGCTTTTAGGTGTTTTTTTATTGAGAATGTCAAAAATTGTATTAGAAATGTAAAAAGGTATGTTGGGTTGAGACAGTTAATAATAATTTAATTTGAAAACACCATCAAGAAAAGGAAACAAAGAAATGATTCACTGCTTATATATACTTCCTCTGTCTCAAAATTGAAATTTCACTTTTAGTATAATTTGAACAAAAAATAAAAATTCAAACTGGACAATAATTATGGGATGGAGGGAGTACTAGTTACCCGTCTCTATTATGAAGTACTCCAGTATACAGAAGGGGAAATTTTTTTTTTGTTTTTTTGGGACTCTTTAAAGTGTTGCATTCTCTATGACATTAACTAAAATTTTGACACGAATTAATCACTTGTCAAATATATTCACTTATCATTTGGTTAGAGTATTAATAAATAATTATTTAATCACGTATTAACCATTTAACAAGTGTCACAAGAAATGCCATATAGAATGTTACAGAATACCCTATGTGAGAATATAGATGGAAAAAAAAAAAGCTACCGGAAATTGAATTATAATGAATAATGATATACGATTGAAATCATGAATCAGATGAATATTTCCTATTAAGGATCTAAAAAGCTCAAAACTATTGAATTATGCCATTTTAGATGTTGATCATGATGGCATACTCTCCATTAATTTTCTCCTCTTGATTCAAGTAGGAACAAAACAAAGCATAAATGGTAGTTAGCACCAAAATTTAGAAGGTGGTAAGAAAAAGAATGAAAACGTCTTAGGAATCTTATAATTAATTGGAGTATTACAAGATGCTGATGAATAGTTTGGAAACTTTTTATATGGCGGTAGGATGATAAAAAAGTATAAAGTACAAGAAAATTCAATCAATCACCTTCAAAGACTCCAGCCTGTATGCTCTTGTTTTTTTATAACTTTTTATTTGTATTTTATATGTTATTAAGTTTATTACTACAGTATTATTTGTTTTTGAAATAAAATGATGTTTGACTTTGACTAATGCTAGATTGTAGATTCAACAACGCGGCCCACACGCTTCAATCGGGTGCCACAGCTCAGTCATTAAAGAGGGGTTTTTTTTTCTTTTTTTTTTTTTTTTTTTGGGTACATTGGTGACCCTCTTCCTTGAATATGTATGTTTATGACCATTTGCAATAATTTTATTCCACAAAATGTGAGGGTTTTTTTTTTCAGCCATTGTGAATCTTTTTTTAGAAGCAATTTCATAGGTTTGTTTTCTACTTGTACAGTTGTACGAGTAAAAGTCAGACTGTCGGAATTTTTCGACATGCATGCTTAAAATTCGATCCATAAGCCACGCATTTTATTTTTTTTTCGTCCTTTTTTCAATTGTTCTCGTGGATAAAGTTTCTTGACCAAGTCGTGTATTCGAGAAGGAAAATTGTTAACATAGATATGAAATACACAATTTTTTTTTTTATTCCTTTTACAAATTAATCGGTACAATATAATTGATGTCCTCTGTTGTTCACATTAATTATTATTATTTTTTTTAATCAAGTTTATTCTTTTGGATGTTTCTTTGATATGAAAGAAAGGTACATATAACACGGTTTCTGACCACGCCTAGGATCAATCAGACTTATATTTCCATCCAAACCAATCATACATTTTCAATCTGAAATTTCATCAATCCGGATCGGATAGCCAAGTTTTCCTAACTCCCAAATTCGATAAATGCATTGCTTATGAAGTATCTCTTCGTGTATGTTCTAAGATATACCACTTGTTGATTGGAGATTGAAAATTAATATTTAAAAGAAATGATTATTTAACTACTATATTTTGTAATAATTGCGTGAACAATTTTTTTTTTTTCAATAACTGAAGTATTAAGTACATTATCATGATGAAGTTACATCACATTTTGGTATACCTACCTATAAATGAATGTAAACCATCTTAAATAAAAGATGCATGCTTGATTCAAACTCCCCCAAAAAAAAATTAAATAAAATAAAGTAACACGAGTGATCAAGAGGTGCAATCAGAATAGTAAGTAAACAATGAGGAAGATCAAAAGTCAAAACAACCACTCATCGTGTTATTTTTACTTAGATTGATCATAAATCAGAACTTACTTTCTGTAACAATCACATCTAAATGACTTTCATTACGTTATAAGTTCCGACTTATGATCAATAAACTTGAATGACACCGTCATGACCTCAAGCGAGCACACATTCTAGTAGCTAGCCAAGTTTACATGCAAATGTGCAAATGTAACTATGACTATGTTTTATCACCCGACTAACAAATCAAAATTGTCTTTATTTTGGAAAAAAAGATTATATCAAAGTTTGAATATTCATGCGATTCAACTCTTACGGTGATCTATTAAAGTCCAGTAGGGTGTAGTCAAGTCAATAACTAAAGGAACTTGAAACATCGTGGTCCTTTTTCAAGTTTCAACTTTCTAACTCATGTATTTAATTATGCTAAAGCCCATGGATCCTTTTATAAGAAAAATAACAACTGATATATAATAGTAACAAATTAAACTCCATACTAACCCTTATATTTTGACTAAATAAATATTGTTATCATCCCAATTCAAAATCCCTATGGGTGCATATCTTTGAATGTAAAACAGGGTTTTTGTCAAATCAGACAATATTAATTAGCCGCATATCCATGTATCATTTCTAGTGCTTTGCTGTTTTTGTTCCTTTTGTTTTTTTTTTTTTTTTTTTGGAATGAAATTTTAAAAAGTCCACTTCTATTCCCAAAACAGTAGTTTTACTATATGATCACACGTTTTGAAAGCGAAGTTTGGAGGAAAGTATTAGCTCATGCATCGACAAGTGATTTTGTACTTCTTCATGTCTTGTTTATAAGGCTTTTTAAAAGTAAATTTATAGTTTTGAATAGGACCCGAAGAGATAGTTTTAAATAAGTAATAAAACTTTTATCAAATTATAAAATCATTGTTTGTATTATTGATATGAATGGAGAAGTACTTCATTTGTCAAAATAACTATTTTTAAATAATAATAAAGGGCATTAGCTAGGACTAAAAATAGTGTGAAGATTCATTACAAAGATGGGCTTAAGGTACTAGTACCCTAGAATGAATCCATTTAGAAGTGCTTTTGGTTTGTGAGAATGATCAAAATGCTTATGAGAATGGTTTATAGAATATAATAGGATTAAAATTATAATTAGGCTCTTAGTTTATAGTATTGACGAGTTTCTCTATCTCTGTAATGATCATCAAATTTTAATAAACTGAAATCTTTCTCCTAATTCTTTCTCGTCTGATAATACGACGTGCTGTTCATCCTCTTCATATTTTTTTCTTCTCTAAACCTTCTCAAATCTTATTCTTTTTCTTCTAATTATTATCTGAAAATTTCATTCCAATCATCAACTCCATCACAGAAATGAAACCATTATTTTCTTCCCGCCAAAAAAAAAATAAAAAAATGGGGGCCTATCTCAAGTAAATGAGATTGGATTAGTGCTTTCTTCAAAGATGACCAGTTTACAACTGAACGGGCCGAAGAAGGAAGCCCGTAATGTTTCTAACATCGGTAAAGCCCCTGCATCAATGATGGATAAACCTTTAAAACTGAATACATTAGGCATTTCCATTCTTTTAGACGAGATTGTGGAATGAACTGGGCCAAACTCAAACTAGGCCGAACGTCCATTTTGATTTAATTCGTAGTAAAGAGTGGGCTCTTAAGTCCACTAATTTGTGTCCGACCTCATCTTTATTCCTTGACTTGCCCAGTGGGCTGCGATGTCCAAACTCATCTTCATCATTCTTAATAAGATTGCTTCTATCAAAATCATGGTAATGGCATCACCCTCAAAATCATAAACATCACTGTATCAGTTTTCAACAAATTAATCATAAGTAATGGAATACTTTTTTTGTTCTTTTTGTAAATTTCTTTTACGATCTTAGAAAAATGGACATGTTTTTAAAATTTAAATAAATCCAAATGTACATTTAACGCTTTTGCAAACCGGAATATACATAGTTTATATTTTATATTTTCATGTAGACTCCGTCCACATTAAAAAGTTAACGCGAATAAAGAAACTAATATTCCCTCTGTCTCAATAGAATATTTCAGCTCACAAATTATTATGCATATTATTATTTTTTTCTAGGACATAGTGAGTGACAAAACAACTTGCTTTTATATACGATATATACTTCTTAGTTCCAATATAGTAATAATGATGTGTGAACCATCTCTTTTCCAGTTTCTTACATTCCAGTCTACTTTAAAAATTTTTATGCGAACAATAGCAGTTAGTATAACGTGTATGGTTCACTATGAAAGGATTGAAAAACTATTTACTCAGTCTCGAAATAATTGTCCAGTCTGAATTTTTATTTATAATTTAAATTGTACTAAAAGTGAACATCCAAGTTAGATAATAATTTAATTTGGAACAAAAAGTGTAACATTTTGTACGTTGTACTCCTATATTGTCCAAGCGAGGGGCTTGTTCAAACTAAGCACATTACAAATTGTTTTAAGACACTAACGGGGAAAATAAAATAGTATCCTAGCAATTTGCTATGTCAATTATCATTTGTATTCTGAAAGTCCCCAATCTATACAGCTCTAGTGATTAATGTTCCCGGGGTGGTGGTGTTGGGTTATATTATTATTGTGGACCGCGCTCGAAATAAATTTCATGTGATCAAACTGGTCCAAACCCTCGATTTAGGTTTTCGGTAATCAACGTT